CTCAACTCCAAGCGCTCGCCCGGTCCTGGGAGGAGGAAAGGCGGGGGTGTCTTGCGCTTCACCTCAAGTTCAGGGTCGAGGGGACTCCCGTGGCGTTTGGAGCGGTCAGAGTCGGGTTGACATCTTTCCCATCCCCCCCCCTCCCCTGTCTCTGCCTTCCCTTCTGGCTCCTCACCGGGACCCCCACGTCAGAGCCAGCCGAGGGGGTTGGGGGGGGTGTCTGGGATCAACCACCAAAGCCAGAGCCAGTCTCTTGGGGAGCAGCTGGAGGAGGCGGGCGGCTCGGAAAGGTGCGCCCCTCGGCACCGCCGGGAGCACGCTTCCCTCGGATCGCTGAAATCGGATTCACGGTCGCAGGACACGGCCTCACGGAGGCTTTTGCTTCCCTAGCCTCCGGGTTCGGGTTTGCTCTTAACCTTGGAAGGGGTCCCGCGGGAGGGGAGGTGACTCGCGGGAAGAGTTACAGGTTGAGGAGGCGGGAGGAGGCTGCGCCCTCCCCACCGCACTCTCACCACTCTCCTTCCCACCAATCGGGGCCCGCCAGCCCCAGGTTCTCCCGGCAGCTCAGCGACGGGTTAATAGCCCCCAGCCGTCGGAACCCAGCGGTGCCGAGGCGTTTCGTTCTCGGAATGGAATTGACTTTCCCCACTCAGGGCGCCGGCAAGGAGAGGACAAGTCCGGCGTGGCTTTACCCCCTGCACCGTCACATCCAATTTATTATCCGGCCGCCTCTCACCTCGCCGGCTCCTGCTGTGGGCGGCCCCGGGAGCTGGCCCCCCCACCCCCCAGACTCGGGCGAGCGCGGGGTTCGAGACAAGCACCCGGCTGCTTAACTCGTCCACACGCCCGCGGAGCTGGAGCGGGAGCCGCCCCCCGCAGCGCCCGCAGCGCGGCGCAGGCTCCTCCCTCCCACTGGATGCCTCCGCTTTCCTTTGCCTGCGAGGGTGATTTTAGCGCTGGAAGGAAAGAGTCTTTGCAGTGTTTTTATTTTGTTTAGGGGGAGGGGCGGGGGGCTCCTTTCTCTGACCCTTGCGCTCACTTGGGTCTGAAATTTGAATAATATGTAATTTAAATCTACAAGACAACCCGTTTGAAACCAAAAGGGACAGGAAACAAGGACCCGCACGCTTGAACAGTTCCTGCTGTTACTGGCCTGCCCCTTCTAAAAGTATCCTTTCCAAGACACTCATGTTTGGTTTCATTGGGGTCAGAGGAAGAAGGTTAAACTTGAAAGTTGGTTTATTGCCTGGCTTTGAACAAGTTATGTTTGTCCTTCTGCCCAGTTTTCTCTTGTAACGAGGTGAACCCAGATGATGCCTCTCTTTTCAACTTCTTATTACGGAAAGGGTTAAAACACATGCAATAGTAGAGAGAACAGACTCCCCTGTGAGTGTCTCCCAACTTCCAACATGGTTCAGTGTACGTTTCATCTTTATACCCAATCCACTCCCAATTTTTATCACTACTCCCTCTCCAATTTTTACTAAATTCCAAGAATTACATATATCTTTTTCATCTGGAAATATTTCAGCATACATCCATAAAAATAATAATTTTAGATGGTCTTTTTAAAAAAACAAACAACACTGAAGTATAATCTACATACAGTGAAATGCTGAGATCTTAAGTAGTTCCTTTAAACCAGTTTTGAAAACCACATGCATTACTGTAACCCACATCATTTTGAAGACATAGAGCATTTTCATCACCAGAGAAGGTTCCCTCGTATCCTTGTACATAGTTTAGAGTTTCAAAAATGGAATCAGAGTATGAACTTTTTTTTATCTGTTTGCTGTCTTTCACTCAGCATAATATGTGTGAAGCTCACCGTGTTGTTGCATGTAGGGTATCAGTAATTTGTTTCTTTTTATTGCTCTTGTCTCTTTTTATTACTGCCAATAATAAATGGTTCCCACTGTGACCCATCACAACTAGGTACCTTGATAGACTTTTATGACAATTATTTAATATATCATTTCATATGACATATATAGGGTGTCCCAAAAAAAATGTATACGCAATTTAACAGCATATAACTCACTTAATTTTCACTCCTTTCCAGGTTTAACTGATTTGAAATAATGGGTGACGCCAAACTAAGCTTTGAACTTTACCTTAAAGTGCCACTAGACAGACTTTTTTTATGGGGATACATACAAGATAAAGTTTACGGTACAACACTGGGAACAGTCAATGAATTGAGGGCACACAAATACCAACCGAAATGATTCTTGATCTTTGTGATTTCATTGCTTCATGTTGTCAGCAGTGACTGGATGAGAACAGTCATCAGTTTGAAAACAGGTATTGACAAAAAATAAAAATTATTCATTTCTGTAGATCCTTTTAAATTTTGAAAATGAGCTGTATGTTAAAAAACAGTGACTTTATACATTCAAAGTGTGTATACATTTTGGGGGAACACCCTGTATTTATAGTTTAACAGGGACCTCCTTGAGATCCAGGCCTTTAAATCAAAGAGGGCAATACAATAGATTATTTAGGCCCCACTCACTGAAGACCAAGGAAAGAATTATTTTGATCAGTTGTTACTTTTTTGTGCTTGTTATAGGATGGCATGATCCACACAGTTAAATGGTGCTTCATGCTTGGCAAAGGACTAATGTACTGTATCATTTAATCATAACAAGTGGGTAAGTTAAGTTTTATCATGTACCTTTTATAGACAGGGAATTTGAGGCGCAAAGAATTTGAGTAACAGGCCTAGACTGTCTCTCTCTTAAGTGGCAGAGGAGAGAATCTAGCAAGAACTGTCCCAGGAGGCATATTTGCCTCTGGAATTGGCAGTTATTCTCTGAAACTTTACAGATTGGGTATAATATAGGAAAGGAGAGAAAGGTGAGACCTTACTATGTTAGAAATGGCCTTTGAATTTGGGTAGGGCAATGGAAATCAAGGATAATATTATGAAACAATGCATTCATATTTGAAATTGCCTTTTCAATCTTGGTCATTTAAGTAGGGGGAGATGATTTCTCACCACCCACCTCAAAGGAAGAAAAAGAAAAACTGTAAAACAATTTTTCATCATTTTAAGTTACAATTACAATCCCATGTTTTATTCTCCTTTTCACCCTTGAAAGTGCCTTGCACACAGTAGGCATTCAATAAGCTTTTAAAATTACTGATGCTATTAATAGTGACACTGCTTATGTTCTACCTGTAGTCTCTTAGCTCTGTATTCTTAAGGAGGCAGAACTACTCAAGAACAAAGAAGGGAACTGAAAATTAATGAACTTTTTCATCATTGATTAAAAGCATGGCCACGAGTAAATTCTTAACTCTCTAAGTATAACTTTAAAATTTAATCTCATTGACTGTTTCTGTTTGTTGATTTATTTTGTTTTTTAAATTTCACAAATAAGTGAAATCATATGGTCTTTGTCTGTCTGATTTATTTCACTTAGCACAATACCCTCTAGGTCCATCCCCATTGTTGTAAATGGTAAGATTTCATTCTTTTTTATGGCCGAGTAATATTTAACTGTATATATGTACCACCTCTTCTTTAACCAATCATCTATTGATAGACACTTAGGTTGCTTCCATATCTTGGTTGTTGTAAATAATGCTGCAATGTACATAGGGATTCATATATCTTTTCAAATTAGTGTTTTGGAATTTTTTAAAATAAATACCCAGAAGTGGAATTGCTAGGTCATAAGGTAGTTCTATTTTTAATTTTTGGAGAAACATCCATACTGTTTTTCAAAGTGTCTTCACCAACTGTGCATGAAGGTTCCCTTTTCTCCACACCCTCATCAACACTTGTGTGTTGACTTATTGATGGTAGCCATTCTAATTTTCTCGTTTATAAAATGGGGATACTATTCTACTTGTGTGTGATTGTTATAAAAAATAAATAATATGGTTTTAGTGAATAAACAATATATTTTTAGCAAAGAACAAGCACAGTGGGATCTCTCAATACATGTAGTTATTATTATTATCTAGCCCCCATGTTTTAGGGTGTCCTAGAAAATACTTTCCTCATTGCAGTAGTTTTTAACCACATTCCCAGCCCTTCCCAACCTCCCATCCCACCCCAAACTGATGCCGCTTCATCAATAATTTTGGCTTCCTATGGTAGGTAAAAAATTTCCAACCAGGGATGGAATTTGTGAGGAGATAGAGTGGGGATATTCAAGAAGCACT